GAAGCTGCACGCTCAGAGCACTTTGCTAGTGCAGAGCCCAAAGGGGAGCATGACTGAATGTGAAAGCAGGATACACAGGTATAAGGACAGAGGTCCAACATCACAAGCCTAAATGTTGGAGTTTTTCACTCAAATTTGAGTTAACCTTGGGATGTATCTCAGTGACTACTGTGAAGCTGCTAGGTGTACTGATTGTTTGTGGGCTCAGATAGATTCTTTTTCTTTTTAGTAAGAGCTTTGCTTCTGGGCAGTCTTTGAAAAGCCAAATGCGCAACCAGTGTCCAACTTCATCCCTCAGAAAATGTTGTTATCTATTTCTTTTTTTTTGTTTGTTTGCAGTTGAAAAAAACAATTTTCTTATGCTGCCCTTTACTATGGGGTTGCACAAACCATCCAGTGTGTAAATTCCAAATACGTGATGCTAAGTACTACAAGATAATTCAGAATGTTCCATTAATTTCCATTGCTGAAAACAGTCCGAAAAATTTCTAATGCAATTATTTGTCTTTCTAACTCGTGCATCACAACATACTTCTTAGTGCTTTTTTTGGTCACTCTCTTCCAATTTTAAGAAACATGTATCACACAATAGTAATTTATCATGTATTTTGCAACCGGCCTACACTGGGGAATTTACTTCAGTCTGTTCAAAGCAGGGTCTTCTATTATTTCTTTCATTACCCTATGCTGGTCTGTTGTTCGTTTCCTATATGTGATATTTAATTGTAGTAATGATAGTAAGTCTATAAGGAGTGTAAGCAGGAACAGGTTAACTGGGAGGACAACAAAAAAGTTGTCTGAGCAGCTAGGGATAAGATTAGGAAAGCTAAAACCCAGATAGAAGTAAATCCAGGCAGGGGCATAAAGGGAACAAGAAGAAATTCTGCAACTTTATCAGTGATAAAAGGAAGGTCGGGGAAGATGTGCGCCCTCTCTGGAAGGAAACTGGAGATCCGGTCACAAGGGATATGGAGAAAAATAAGGTGCTCAAAGACTTCTTTCCCTAAGTCTTCACTGGCATGGACTCTAACCACACTGCCTAAAGTGCAGAAAGCAAATGTAACAAGTGGGAGGTAGAAGATCTGCCCTCTGTAAGTGAAGATCAGGCTCGAGACCACCAGAAAAATCTGAAGGTGCATAAGTGCTTGGGACTTAGTGAGATCCATTCACACGTTCTGAGGGAACTGGTGGATGAAGTTGCCACGCCACCATCCATCTTATTGGAACGGTCATGGCAGTTTTGTGAAGTTTCCACTGACTGGAAAAGGGGAAACTTAAGTCCCATTTTCAAGAAGGGGAAAAAAAAAAAAAAAAGATCCAGGGAACTGCAGGCCAGTTGGTTTCACCTCTGTGCCTGTTAAGATTGTGGAGCAGATCCTCCTGAGGGCCCTTCTAAGGCACATGGAAAATAGAGATGAGATGATTAGCAGTAAACAATGGCTTCTCCAAGGGCAAGTCAAGCCTAACAAATCTGGAGGCCTTTTATGATGGAATTACAGCATCAGTGGATAAAGGAAGAGCAACTGATATCATCTACCTGGACATGTCCAAAGCTTTTAACGCTGTCCCACATGACATCCTGGTCACCAAATTGGAAAAAAAAAAAATGGATTTGATGGGTAGACCACTTACTGGATAAGGAATTGGCTGGATGGTCACACTCAGAGAGTTGCAGTCAACAGCTCAGTGTCCAGGTGAAGACTGGTGACGAGTGGCATTGCTAAGGGATTGGTGCTGGGACCAGTGCTATTTAACATTTTTGTGAGTCATGTGGACAGTGGGATGGAATGCATCCTCAGCAAGTTTGCAGATGGCACCAAGCTGAGTGGTACAGCTGACAAGCTAGAGGAAAGGGATGCAGAGGAAATAGTGCTCTCCTGAAAGGAAAGTTACAGAGAAACTTCCTTGACATTAGAAAAGTTGATCCCAAGCCTTCTTTCAAAGAGACAGCTCCTCAAGAATGATAACCAGCCATAAGGGAGAACTTAGATTTTTCATTTTTTTTTTTCCTTGTAAAACATTATTTTTATTTTGAATTGTGAAGACCACAAGTTAAAAATGTGGTACTTCAATGCTTTTTTTTTTTTCCTTTGTAACAATCCAATTGCCTGCCACAGTATTTGCAAATTTGTAAGTTGATGCAACATCAACTCCTTGAAACACTGAATAAGATCAGATAGCATTCAGATTGGTTAGAGAGCCTCCAAAACAATTAAACTTGTGATACTGTTATTGAGGAGATTTTAATTAATAGCATTTTGTTAATAGAGGCCACGTGTGAGTTGTTACTGATTAAAGTCCTAGCAGATCTCTGTAGCTGAAGATTTGGGAAAGCTCAAAACATACAACTTCCAGTAAGCATGGTAAAAATGGACTCAAAGTGGATTATTAGCACAAGTGATAGCATTTTGAGTCAATTTTAGCACAAGTAATATATATCTTTGAGATGTTCATTATCTCAAGCTGATTGGGCTTGAAATGTACCAATTCTGTATGAAATAAGTGTATTAAGCAGAGGAAATGAAGATTCACATATGTGGGACAAACACAGACGTTATGAACAAAAGACCTTGGAAATAAGTAAACGAGCTTGACAGCTACTTGCACCAGATGTAAACATGCATGAGGTACCTGACCAGTACATGTGCCCAAGAGGCTGTTGCTTGGCTATAAAAGGTTGTGAGCACCTGCAATAAAGGTCTTTGTTCTGCACCAGCAATGAAGTCTGTGACCCTCCTGCCACACACCTATATTGTGTGACATAAACATACATGTGTGCATCTATCTAATACAATCATGAGATAAACTTATACTTCACAGCCTGGCAGGAGTCTCCTCTTACTGATATGAACATAAAATATCCTCTTAACGTTGTATGATTTTCTCAGTCCATTCAATTTGGTGCAAGTCCAAAAGCAGCAGGGGCACTGCTGACCTTGATGCTCCAACAGAGATATGAGTGATCTGAAGCAATAAAGCGGCTCAGCAAGAGGAGCCACAGTATTCAGTTCCCTGCTCCTTAAAAATAACTTCTTGTTATTGTTTTATGGACCTTTTGTCAGGAGGGAGCCGCTATCCTAGCAGAACCTTGAGAAGAGTGCACACTTCAAGGTGTAGGTTTTTCTCATCTTCACATTCAATTTAGACACACTGCCTCATGGATTCAGGACGTGAGTCATCGCATGCACCTGGCACAGTTTATTTTTAGGGCAGAAAAGCAACTAAAGCTTCTGCCAAATATTTCCTTGAGTCTTCAGGGCCTTTTCTGTTGCTCATCTGCTACATGTTAACTTTCAATCCCTAAAGGACATACAGAGTCGTGTCTACAGATATGAAGACACTGCCCAATATTCTTGATAATTATTGTTTCACTTCCAAAGAAAGGTGTTCTTGTGGGCTGTGACTGGGTGTAACGGGGCAAGGCAGAAATACCCAGCACAAGGGTTAGCAATGGGGGTGGGACAGGCATTTGGGGAGCTCACGGGGCAGCGGGGCGGTCGCGTGTATGGGCATAAAACGCCTTGTTGAGCAGCATTACATTGGCACTCGCTCTTGACACTGTGTGTGTGACAGCGTGTGGCCCTGATCGGGGGGATCAGATGGACGGGGGGCGGTTTAGTCTGCAGGGTAACGTAGGTTGCTGCTGCAGTTATCTTCCTGCTGGTGTTTGTATATCGTGAAACTCGAGAGCGTAAGTTATTGGCTGAAAGCATATGACAAAACGTCATTCGCATGTAGTCGTAATCTCTCTTCTGGAAAACAGTTCAAGATTTCAATGTTTCACAACCCATTTGAGATCTGGTATTTTGTTCTAATTCTTTGCTGGCCACTTAAGTTGCCTTATTATAGAATTTATTACAAACTCAGCTAAGGATAAAGCCTTAATCTTGTGGTAATGTTGATTCCTCCATTCCTCATTAAATTCTTTTATGTCTACAAACACGCTCAAGTCTGCTCCCGCATCATTTCTTTGCATTCCTTGGAAATTTAGTATGCAGTGTGGTCTTCAATAAGAAGAAAACCTGTAAGGAAATGGCTATATCAAGTCACAGAATGACTGGTCTGGTCCTAGAGAAAGCAAGTTAAGCTCTTGGGAGACTTTCACGATCATATGAGCAAAGAATGGAACAGAGGAAGATATTTGCTTCTTAGTACCTCAAAGAGATTGCCAAACCCAATGTGAAAAATGTTAAGAACAAAGTGAAAATGGTGCCATTTCTGAGGGTGATGGAAAGGTCTTGGTGATGTTATCAAGATTACCAAAACCAATGTGCTTTTCTTCATGTGCATTCTTCCTATGTAGCTGCAGCTGCCCATCTCATACAAATCCTGTAATCGTTGCCATAGAATTTCAAGTACAGTATCAAGCTGTTATCCGCTAAGCATTAATATCAGAAGCAATGTAATTGTGTGCTGCTTCATCAGTGGATGATCGCATAGAGCTGATCACAGAATGTGATTATGGACCTATGTTCTTGCTGCCCAGCTGCTGTTTGAATCAAATAATATTTTCCAGTTGTTTGTAAAAGCTTGAGATTTCACATTAGTAGAAATGGAACATTAATAATAAAATCAGTAACAACTACAGAAGGACAGTGTGAAAAACTGTAACTGAATATTCTTGCCCCAGATATTGCTATCATCTGAGCTTTTAGGGTGCTGTGTAGATGAGTGCAATGGATTCTCTTTCCATATAGCTCAGCATCCAAGTTTACTTGCTTCAATGGGAATAGGACTAAACTCTTTGATAACAGAATTTCCTGAGGAAGAATAGCACAGCACAGTCACGGTCAAATCTAGTAATTTTTCTGCTCTAATCATCTTATGCCTCAAAGAGGCACTTACACCCCATGGGGCTGATATTTACATAATTGTAATTTATTGGGTAAAGATTTTTGTAAGGTAAAGAAACATCAAAGTGTTTGTCTTCTTGCTTGATGGCCGAGGATCGCTGCTTCGGAGCTGGTGCGGCTAGAAGCGCGGCGGCTGACCGCGAGGTCCGGGGGGATACAGGGATCCCCGACAGAGGGCAGCTCTCGGCCGGGCAGTTCTCGCGAGAGCGGCCTCGGCGGCCTCGGCTCTGCATCCACGCTCCCTCGCCTAGAAAGGGCCTCCGGGAAGGCAGCGAGCCGTCACACGACACGGAGGTGTGTGAGAATGTGAGAAACACCTCGGCTAATTTATAGAGGAGAAACAGTAAGGCGCTCCTGCACGGGACTCCCCAGCAAGGACGGCTGTTATCGCTCTGGGGTGAGTGGTAAGTGCGCGGGCTCCTGTTAACGACCCGCCACGGGGCCAGGGCAGAGCCTGCACTGCCGGCAGCAGGCCGGGTGATCAGGCACACCTCATTAACACTGTTTAGTAGCGTTACTGTGCCTGCTGGTTTGCGATGGCAAACTGATTGGTGGTGCCGGTCACTATTGGTCCCGAGATGTTGGCATGTAGCTGAGGCACCACATGGAGCATCTCACCCCCCCACTGCCTTGTAAATAGGTGGGAGAAGGGAAATGGCAGGCTGATGGTGCTGCAGTGAGCCTCCTGTCCTCTCTTCCCTCTAGCAACAATTTGGGAAAGGAGGAGGAGTGAAAATGGGTACCGGCTCGATGAAGTGGGCATCCCCCATCCTGACCATCCTCGGCTCCCCAGATGCCTCTGTGCAATAGGGTTGAAGACCTAGAACTCAAGAGAGAGAGGTGAGTGGGGGTATGGAGGGAGGTTCACCTGTTAGGTTGCCTCGGGTAAAGGAGTCGACCCTGCGCCTCAAGACTGCCGCCACCCGGAAGGTGGAGTGCACCCTCAGCAATTTGCTGACGACACCAAGCTGAGTGGTGCGGTTGGCACGGTGGAAGGAAGGGATGCCATTCAGAGGGACCTCGAGAGGCTGGAAAGGTGGGCCTGGGTGAACCTGATGAGGTTCAACACGGCAAAGTGCAGAGTTTTGCACTTGGGCCGGAGGAATCCCAGGCATCCACGCAGACTGGAAGGAGCGGTGCTTGAGAGCAGCCCTGCGGAGAAGGACCTGGGGGTCCTGATGGATGAAAAGCTTAACATGAGCCAGCAGTGTGCTCTTGGGGCTTGGAAGGCAAATGGTATCCTGGGCTCCATCAGAAGAGGGGTGGCCAGCAGGGACAGGGAGGTGATCGTCCCCCTCTACTCTGCTCTTGTGAGGCCCCATCTGCAGTACTGCGTCCAGGTCTGGAGCCCCCAGTGCAGGAAAGACTGGGAGCTGTTGGAGAGGGTCCAGAGGAGAGCCACAAAGATGATGAGGGGACTGGAGCACCTCCCCTATGAAGACAGGCTGAGGGAGCTGGGCTTGTTCAGCCTGGAGAAAAGAAGGCTGTGGGGTGACCTCATTGCAGCCTTTTAGTACCTAAAGGGGAATCAAAGGGTTGATAACTGCAGGACAAGGGGAAATGGTTTTAAGTTGAGGGAGGGGAGATTTGGGTTGGATGTCAGGGGGAAATTCTTCACAGAGAGAGTGGTGAGGTGCTGGAACAGCTGCCCAGAGAGGTTGTGGATGCCCCATCCCTGGAGGTGTTCAAGGCCAGATTGGAGGGGCCCTGGGTAGCCTGGTCTGGTATTAAATGTGGAGGTTGGTGGCCCTGCATGTGGCAGGGGGTTGGAGATTCATGATGCTTGAGGTCCCTTCCAACCCTGGCCATTCTGTGATTCTGGTACCTTAATAGTTTTGAACATCATATGCAAAGGAAAGGTAAAGGAAAATATATTTTTGGAGTAATTAGGGAGAAATCACACACAATATTTGAAATCATATAGGCTGTATGACTGTTTTTAAAGGAATGCAGTCAGCATTTTGTGATGAGTACTTATCATCAGTGCTGGTATTGGACATGGCTATAGGGCTTGAGTATCTGATTAAAATAATTGGCTATGTGCTTGAGCAGCATGTTTATACTAACTTTACAGGGAGCTAATGCTGATGTGAAGAAGAGCTTTCCATAGCATTAGATTTTTCTCTGAAGAGTAATGTAGGGCATTGTAACTTGAGTTATTATGCCACAGAATGTACGCTCTGGAGAAATGCCGGTTGTTTATTGGTTACCTTGGGCTGTTATAACTTCTGACTGTACTTCATTTCAGTACTTAAGCATAAGCTTGTTTATTTAACACTTTCACACATTTTCTGTGCAAATTCTTGGTATCCTTTTTGTTTGTCTCGGGTAAACTTAATTCAAATGAACCATTGATGTAGCTCTCTGCAGTTTGTCATACTATGATCTCAAACTTCATTAAAGGCATGCATTACTTGAGCTTAATTGATTAAGCTTCTTATAGACATGGGAAGAACTGTGTTTTTGCTTCATGCAGGAAGAGGCAAAATATTGAAGGCCAGGCTTAGGAAATGAAGCAGGAAAGATTCTGAAACTAAAACCATGGCTGTTCTCCTTCAGTGCTTGTTACAGCTTCTGGTCTTGGATTTTCTGTATTTTTCAGAACATAAGTAAGAAAAGTGAGGATGTCTTAAGGGCTTCATGTTTTGTTTCAGTAATGGGAGGGAAGGCTGTTGGGAAGCAGTGTCTTTGAGTAGATCAGCTGATGCAGCTGAGGGATTAGCAGGAGGCTTGCACAACGCAAGCACATGACAAAAATGAGCACAAGGATGTCTTGAGGAGCAGGAGCTGGGAGCAGCTTCCTAAATGTACTCCATCTGAAACTGAAATCCTAGCTTATATGGATTAAATATGCAATATTAAAAATAGCTAAGAGACCCGAACTTTTTATGGTTCATATGCAAGTGGAGTAAAAATCCACACAGATTTGTATAGTTTCAATGATTTTTTTTTTTTTTTTTCTAAAATACTGAAGGGAGAGCTTTAGATAGAAGATACACTTGATAACTTCAGATTCTGAATTAATGAAAAGAATAAAAAAATATGTATAAGCACTAAATGCTGAACTTAATTTCATTTATTTTATCAATTGAAAACAGCTCTCAGGCTCACGCACAAAAAAATTGCCCATAGGGTGTTGTATCCAAAAGGTGATTTCCCATTTAAAAAATCCTCTCAGTGAAAATTCCTGTTTTTTCTCTTAGTAGTGCTAGCAGTAATCACCATCCTCACTTCTAGTATCTCCATGGCTTGCAGCAAATGACAAATTCTCAATGGTTCTCAAGTATTTTGTCAATTAAATGTTATAGTTAAGCAGTTCCACACACATGAAATACAGAGCATGAATGCATCATATATGAATACGGACCTGCTGAAGTCTGTTCTAAGAGAAGATGTAAAAATAAGTTTGTCTGACAGAAATAGCCATGCAAAGCACTGCTCTAGGTTGTGATCCATCACAAGCTGTAATATGTCGGTCTCTATTGACTGTTGTCAGGGGTTAAAATGAGTTCTTATAAGGTTGCTGTTTGTCAGACATTTATGCTCACATCTTCCACTAGGTTTTACAGCTGCAGGAGGTTCGGAAGCAAAGCATTTGAGTTTAGCAACCAAACCCCGAGGGAAGATTAGTATTAAGCATAGACAGTGTGAGAATTCAGATGGTGCTGGGATGAGGTGGACTGTATCGGAAATGCTACTGAGAGATTTACAGGCCTGGCCGTGCTGCGTGCTCAGGAAGGAGACACATTATTTGAAAATGTTTTGGTTGCACATTCTGGCAGCCCCCTGCCTGCTCACAGCCCAAACAAATTCTCTGGCTTCTGATGCTCAAAGTTTGGCAGTTTTCTGTGGAGTTTCTTCCCTGTGCTACCAGCCATCTCTGACCACTGCGTTGTTTTGGTACTACTCACTGAGATGCTGAGTTTTAAATCTTTTTCTTCACTTTCAGAATCTTAATGTGACATTTTTCCAAGATTCTTTGTTCCCTTTGTATGACTGACTGAATCACATTCAGGGAAGCTGCTGTTGCTGAAGGAGTTTCTGGGAAAGAATCCCTTTAGAGATCCTCAATGCTTTTATGCCCTTTGGGTTCCCATGCTAAAACATCCTCTCCACTAGCACTTAAAAATGGGGTTGCCTGTGTGTGGGGAAAATACTGGGGAAAAAGGCAAAAAAAACCTGTACAGTTCACTGCTTGCTCATTACTATGGGAGGGGGTATCTTTTAACATCTATTATAGCAGTACATTAATTATCACTTATATCACTGTCTTCTGACCTATTTCATTTCTGATAACCTCTAATTCAGTTTTCTAATGAAACATCACAACCCTTTGACTTCAAATGGTTGAAGTTGTTACTTTTCCCCTGCCCGCCGTACTTTCTTGTTGAGTGTCCCTACTTGGAGGTGTCTTGGCAGGCCCCAAAAAGGGTGCATGACTGCCATGGGTACAGCAGCACCAGCTGCAAAGGTGATCAGCTGGCAGTGGGGGCAACAGAAACAATGGGCAAATGTCCAATTTCATACAAGTGCAAGTTGTCATCCTGCAGCTTTGGTCAGCTGTGCGTATACTGCCAGTTATTTCTGTGCCTCCTCCAGGTGTGAGCTTATATAACTTTGAATAGCTTTGTTCATTATTTATAGGAAAGGGTTTTTTCACTTAATGATTCCCTTTAATGTCAGGTTGTTTTAGAAACTGTAAAAACAGTGATAGTTATTGAGGTCTAAGTTTGCAAATCATAGGGAGGTATTAGTTAAAGAGCTGAGGAATTAAATGACGACCCAGGTGAACTGTGGTGTATTTGTCTATTCAGATATTAAGAAATAAACAAGTGGACAGTTGCAGACACTTTTAAAATGGGAAATGAGCTCAAAGTTAAGTACTCTGGAGGGAGCAGTGTTAAACTAAACGTGCTGCAAAAAATGCAGGCGTTGTGCTCAGTGGTGGAGCAACTGGCAGTTCCTGAAAGCACAGATCAGAGCAGCAGTCAGAGAATTGCAGTGGTATTGACCAGAGCAGTGCGCCCGATTTTCCTTGCATAAGTAGGAGGGCACCTATGCTGCACATGGAATTAGTAGAGAAAAGGTTGGTGTTTCTGAGGGAGCTGTTGAGGTAGGCTGTCTTTGTAATGTAACTCTGAATGAATCAAAATAACCTCATTTACCTTAATCAATTTGAAAAGAGGATAAATTATTTCAAGGACAGGGTTCATTGTGTTTATTCACACAGTAGTGCTCCTTTGCACAGCAGGCTATTAAACAGGCTGTAATTCAGCACTCCTTTACACATTTTTCATTCTATCTTTGTAGGAGATTCTAGGGGTTATACAGCAAGGAAGCAGATTTAAAGCTAGCTTGATATGGGATTCAGCTTTCTCTGATGTTACACGGGAATTGTTTTTTTTTTCAAGCAATCCTTATTTCTAGTGGAATGGACAGGACAGAAGAACACATTCATTTGCACTGTCAAGGGATTTTGTTGCCAGTAGGAATGAAAATGTTCACAGGTGTCAAGTGTCACATAATAAAAATGTGAGAATGATTTCCCTATGGGAACTTCCCCAGGTCCTGGTTTTTCAAAAAGAGAGCAACTGTGGACCTCCTGTTTCCCCCACTTCTCATTTTGTGTGTAGGATGCAGAATTGCCAGCGAGTGGAGCAGGGAGAATTTGGAGGACTTTATAAACAGAGGCATTACAACGTGATGGCATACCTTTGTTTTTTTCCCAGCTGGAGAACCTTCCCCTGGAGAGGGCTGAAAGCAGTGGTGCTGTGCAGAGGCTAGCTTTAAGTGCCCTCTGGCACTGTGGAAATCTCCAAGATGAAATTCAAGGCAGCTCT